TCTCTTCCTTAGTATCTCCTTAGCTAGTTATTCAAGTTCTATCATTTATAGCTTCTACCTTCTACTAAATATTTGAACATAATTTAGACAAGTTACTTGCCACTGAATAAAAACAACACCTTTCCTCCATTGTCCAATTACATGTTTACCATTTCCTCTAAAGTCTCCCCAGAAGCACATTTAACATCTATATTTCTATCAACAAAAAAATAGCTCATGCTATTTATTCTCTAAGACAATAGAAACTTTCTCAGTAGCTTTGCTCATTTTCTTCTATGCCCTCACCAGAATTGCCTTTGATGTCCATAATTCTATGAACAGTCTCTTCAACGCAATCTAGACTTTTGTTATTAGGGACCTCAAAACTTTTCCAGCCACTAGCTGTTATCCCCACCGCTTGTCTGTCAGTTTGTCATACTCTGGTGGCTTGCATGTTACTGTGAGGCTATAGGCTATGCCTCTGGTATTTCAAATACCAGTATGGTCACCCATGGTAGATAGGTTTCAGCAGAGCTTCCAAACTAAGACAGACTTGGAAGAAGGATGGGGCCATCAACTTCTGAAAAATTGGCCAATAAAAACCTTATGAATAGCAGTGAAACACTGTCTGATATAGTACTAGAAGTTGAGCCCTTCAGGTTGCAAGACACTCAAAATAGTACTGGGGAAGAGCTGCCTCCTTAAAGTAGAGTCAACCTCAGTGATATGGATGAAGTAAAGCTTTCAGGATCTTCATTTGCTGAAGTGGTACAGCTCAAAATGGGAAGAAACAGCTACAGACATCCAGTAATAATAGGAACGTGAAATGTCCAAAGTATGAATCTTGGAAATCTTGGAAGTTGTCAGAAATGAAATGCAATGCATAAAAGATTGATGTCCTAGACATTAGTAAGCTGAAATGGACTGGTTGGTATTGGCCATTTTGAGTCAGAAAATCTACTGGGAATGACAGTTTGTAGAGGAATGGTGGTTTTGAATGAAGAAATCCAAGCTGCACTGAAGGAGTTGACAAAAAACAAGGCTCCAGGAATTGATGAAATGCCCATTGAGATATTTCAACAAATGGATGCAGCAATGGAAGTACTTAGTCATTTATACCAAGGAATTTGGAAGACAGCTACCTGGCCAGCTAACTCGAAGAGATCCATATTTGTGTCCTTCTAAAGAAAGGTAATCCAACAGAATGTGGAAATTATTGACAGTATCATTAATTTCACATGCTAGTGAACTTTTCCTGAAGACAATCCAAAAATTCTTGCAGTAACGTATTGACAATAAAATTCCAGAAATGCAAGCTGGATTCAGTTGAGGGTGTAGAATGAGGGATATCATTGCTGATGTCAGATGGAGCTTGGCTGAAAGCAAAGAATACCAGAAAGGTGTTTACCTGTGTTTTATTGACTATGCAAAGACATTCGACTATGTACATCATAACAAATTATGGATAGCATTGTGAGGAAGATGAATTCTAGAATATTTAATTGTGCTCATGAGAACCTATAGAGATTAAGAGGTTGTCTTTAGAACAGAACAAGGGGATACTGCATGGCTTCAAATCAGGAAAGGTGTATGTCAGGGTTGTATCATTTCACTGTAATAATTAAATTTGTATCCTGAGCAAATAATCTGAGAAGTGGACTATGTGAAGAAGAGCACGGCATCAGGATTGGAGGAAGACTCATTAACAACCTGCGATATACATATGACAAAACCTTGCTTGTTGCAAGTTCAGATGCCTTGAAGCACTTAATGATGAAGATCAAAGACTAGTTTTCAGTGTGGATTATACCTCAACATAAAGAAAAAGAAAATCCTCACAACTGGACCCAAAAGCAACATCACAATAAATGAAGAAAAAATTGAAGTTGGCAGGAATTTCATTTTATTTGGATCTGCAGTCAACAGTAATGGAAGAAGCAGTTGAGAAATAAAACATTGGGAGGAAATGGGAAGAAAGCTGTTACATTGTGGGGATCGCAGTCAATGTCATTAAACACAATGTACATGAACTGCTGTATGGAAAATGAATTTGCTTTGTAAGTTTCACCCAAATCACAATTAAAAAAAAAAAAAATGTCATATTGCACTTGGCAAATCTGCTGGAAAAGGCCCCTTTAAAGTGTTAAGAAGCAAAGATGTCACTTTGAAGAACTACAGTGTATCTAACCCAAGCCATGGTATTTTCAGTCTCCTCATGTGCATGTGAAAGCTGGACAATGAATAAAGAAAACTGAAGAAGAGTTGATGACTTTGTGCTGGTGAAGAATACCGAAAATACTATGGACTCCCAGAAGAATGAACAAATCTGTCCTGGAGGAAGTGCAGCTGGAATGCTCCTTAGAAGCAAGCATGACCAGACTTCATGTCACCTACTTTGGTCATGTTGCCAGAAGGGACTATTCCCTGGATAAAGATATCATGCTTGCTAAAGTAGAGGGTCAATGAAAAAGGGGAAGAACCTCAATGAGATAGATTGACACAGTGGCCGCAATGATGAGCTTGAATATAGCAAGGTTTGTGAGGATGGTGCAGGACTGGGCACTGTTTGGTTCTGTTGTACACAGGGTCACTATGCGTCAGGGCTGACTTGACAGCACCTAGCAACAACAGTCATTTCCCAATTCCAAAACCATTTGTACATTTTCAGTATCTGTTAGAGCAGCATCCCACTCTCTCAGTACCAAATCCTATCTTAGTTATCTAGTGTTGCTGTAACAGAAATACCACTAGTGAATGCTTAACAAATTTATTTTCTCACAGTTTAGCAGAGTAGAAGCCAGAATTGAGACTTGCCAGCTCAAGAAGCCATTTCTCTCTCTCTTGGCTCTGGAGGAAGATCCTTGTCTCTTTTTAACTTCTTATGTCATCTTCATGTACTTGGCATCTCTTCTTCACCATGTCTCCTTTGTTCACTTGTTTAATCTCTTTTATATTGCAAAAAGAGATTGACTAAGGATGCACCCTATACTAATCCTGTCTCCTTAACATAACAGACAGCCTATTCCTAAATTGGATGGTAAATACAAGCAAAGAGTTTAGGATTTATAACCCATATTCTTGGGGGGGGGTGAATACAGTTCAGTCCATAACAGGTATATTTATACCACCACTAACAACTGAGCACCTGCCATGGGTACTTATGTATAGCCATATATCTCATGGGATTTGGTTTTGTGGTTTAGAGTCATCGTTTCATGGGACATCCCAGTAAATTGGCCTCACATTATGTTTAATGCTTCTGTTCTCCCTCCTAGTAAGTTGCATAGTGCCTGGGGTCTTAAAGACTTGCAGATGGTCAATTCAAGGCACAATAGTTGGTTTCTGTTCACTTGGAGCAATTGAGAAGGGACGAGAGTCAGGAATAGGAGGAGGATATAGAATGTCTGGGTAAGTGCTCCATAACCAACCTCCTCCTTTGCCATGAGATCAGAACTGGATGATTACTAGGTACTATTACTGAACATTTTGATTAAAGATGCTATAGAGGAATCCTGATCAAAAGGGGGGTAAATGTAGGACAGAATTTCTAATTCTTGTGGAATCCAGATTTCTGGAGCCATTGAAGCTGGATGAGCCCCTGAAACCATTGCCCTGCAATAATCTTTAATCTTTAAACCAAAAATACCCTCTGAAAGCTTCTTTAAAGCAAATAATATCTATATATGATCCATTTGACTGTAGCCACTCAAAAGATTAGATAGGGAACCTAGGGGACAGTGAATTTATGTTAATGGGGGAGAACAGTTCAGAAAAGAAAGGTGGGAATGGTTGCATAACTCAAAGAAGACGATCAGTGTCACTGAATTATACATGTTGAAATTGTTGAAGTGGTGTATGTTTTGTTCTATGTTTCTTAGCAAAAAATGACAAAAAATTTAAAATAGAAATATAACTTAAAAAATTAATTCCTTTAGAAGCCTTTGAGGAAATTTGTTTTTAAATGACTAATAATTCTTAATAATTGGTCTGATATTTGGTCAGTATTATTTAGGGAGTTATGAAAAATTATTTTGTTTTTAAAATAGAACTTTCGATTAAGAGGGGAGAATAGAAGTGATAGTCAGAGTCAAAGGCTGATTCTAGTCTCTTGGCAACTCCAAGCCATCCTCATAAAATTTCCTTTAAATTGTCCTTCCCCTCAGTTCAGAGTTTCCTTTCCCTACCAATTGTTGTTTAGTGTACCATTGTGTTGATTCTAATGCATAGAAAGCATTCAATTCTTTTTAACCACAATGGGTAATTTCTAAATAAATGTTTTAAAAAAACAGTTTATTTTGCATGAATAGTTAGTAAATTTAAGGAATATCTAATATATCTAATATTAGAGTCAAAATAAACTTTTAAAAATGGATAGTATTTTCTAGGCAAATTTTGGTTATAAATTGTGATGATATGTATAAAAAGAAATTTTTTGATAAAGAAGACAATGTCTTATTTTTTCAACTTCTCAGCTCTAATTATAACTGTAATTATAGCTAATTATGGCTGCAACAATGGGCTCAAGCATGGTAACCATTATGAGGATGGTACAGGACTAGGCATTGTTTCATTCTGTTGTTGCTGTGAGTCGGAAGTGATTCCACAGTACCTAACAACAACAGTTATAACTAGTCTTTGAGAAATAGATATGATAGCTTTATGTAAAAGAGTAAACTATCGTATTTTGGACTGGAAGTGTACTGAAACCTGAAGAGTCCATAATTTCCACCTTGATTTGATGTTTTACATTTACCAGATCTGCCACCCTGTGACTTGCCTCTGCCACCCCTTTTTTATTCCCATATCCCAACATTCTTTCTAATGATGATTAAAAAATATATGCTTTAAACTTAATTTTTATTATGGTAAGACTACCATATAAATATATTTTACTATTTAAAATAATATTGTGTTAAGTAAGGATTTAGATACCTCACATATCTTAGAAATTACATGAATAGTATAATATAAGCATAAGGAAAAAAAAAATATCTGTTCTTCACATAACTTATTTCTTCTAGGTATACATTAGATGAATTTGGAACAGCCAGAAGAAGTACAGTTGTCCGTGGATTTATTGATGCTCTTACAAGAGGGGGGCCAGGAGGTACACCTAGACCTATTGAAATGCACTCCCATGACCCTTTGAGGTATGGTAATCACACAACATTGGAGTAGTTGATGTTTTTCTGAAGGAAATATTTACTAACATATAGTTTTTTTAGGTATGTTGGAGATATGTTAGCTTGGCTCCATCAAGCTACTGCTTCTGAAAAGGAACATCTTGAAGCTCTTTTAAAGCATGTAACGACACAAGGTGAGCCTATAGTTTGTTACTGCTGATGAATAAATATAAAATATACAAAGCTTCTCAGTCTCTGTCTTTATTGCTACTATCTTCACTGAGATAAATACTTCACATCTAGATGGTACGCCAAGAATCCTAATTAATATTCTTCTCTCTAGGTTCCCCCTTACGCTAATATACTATCTCCTCCTTAAATACCTCTTTCACCTTATAGCGTAACTGTTCACAGTTTTATAAAAAACCATGTGGTATTGTCAGTTCCACTCATGACCCATGTATGTCAGAGTAGAAATGTGCTTCATGGAGTTTTCAGTGGCTTATTTTTCCAAAGTGGATCAAAAAGCCTTTCTTTTGTAGCCGACCCTTATTACTTTCCATATCAAGCCTAGACTCCTCTGATTCACTTAAGACATTTCTTGAGTGTATAATGTACATTATCTCAAATTTGCCACAGTAGACTTTAAATGTAAAAGATGGTATTGAAATGAAACTGAGGCTGAGTGACTAGCTACTTAGTCATTAAGCTGATTCTTTCATTACTGCCACCCAACCTGTTTTTCATTCTTACATAACAGTTTTAACATTTTTAAAACATAATCACCATGTTGTAGTAGTTAAGCTTGTGTGTCAACCTGGCTGGGCCTGGTTGAGTGGCTGGGCAGCTGGATGTAGTGTTCCCCATGATGGGGCTGGTAATCAACTCCATGGTGGAATCTACTCTGAGCAGCTGAGTAACTGCCCTAGGGATGTGGTCTGTTTCCTATACGTAAGAAACAGCTTTGGGAATGGTCTCCAGCTTATGGCATGCTTGAGTCCTGCATGTAGCTGTGTCATTGTTCAGTAGCCTGCCATGCTTTGCCGACCTTGGGACTTTCAATGGACTTGAGTTAGTGGCCTGCCATGTGGTTTGGTAACATTGGGACTGTGCCTTTTTATTTGTCAAACTTGGGCTTCTCAGTTTCAGCAGCCAGCAGCTGTCTGAGTGAAGAAAAGCCTCTAGCTCTAGTGGGACAGAAATAGGAGGCAGAACTGAAGCCCACGGTTGAGGGGCTTTCACCCAGCCCCTAAGCCTGGCACTTTGAACTTGGACTTAAAGCCCCCAAACTATAAGAGAATAAACTCCTGTTTGTTTAAGTCATCCCATTTGTGATATATTCTTGTCAGAGCGGCACTAGGTAACTAGAACATGTGTACCAAATGCCAAATTTCAAATTTTCTTAGTTGTGACTATCTTCACATGTCTGTTACAGAATTTGAGAGATTAGTAGTTTTTAATAGAAGTGAAGAGCAATATTTTGACCCTGTATGACGTGGTGAAGAGTTCTGGTGGTACAGTGGTTAAAGCATATGGCTGCTATGGTCAGTGGTTCGAACCTTCCAGCTGCTCTGCAGGAAAGAGATGAAGAAGTCTGCTTCCATAAAGATTTACAGCCTTGGAAACCCTGTGGGGCAGTTCCACTCTGCCCTATCAGGTCACTATGAGTCAGAATCAACTCTATGCAGTGGGTTTTCATGACTTGATTATTTTACACAGCTCAGGAGCACAGAGTTGCAGCTCATTGTGTGATCTTCATGATAGTCCAGAGTGCAGATTGGTAGTAGTAGTAAACATCATTGTGTTTTAGCTCAACAGGATGGGATCATGCTCTGCATCTATGTTAGATTGACTCAAAGTCTACATTTCTTTCAGTTAAAATTGTGTTTTCACACTAATTATCCAGTTTAAAAGAATATATTCCTATAAAACATTGTTAAAGGATAAATGTGAGGCAGTGTTAAGAGGTGGAAAGAAAATAGATTGGACTTAGATGAAGCAGGTTATTTTGGAGGAATGGCTTAACTTTTCTCAGCTATTGTTTCTCCACCTTTGAAGAATGAAGATGGTTGTAGGCAGTTAATGTCACTACAGTGACTGATAAATAGTAGGCATTTAGTAAATGTTATTTTCCCACTAGATTGCAAGGAGTTTCATCTCTGTTTCCTCACCTTATGTGCTTAGCACCACTGCCTGGAATAAAAAGTTTATAGAAGAAATGCTAAGATATGTTCACACTGAACCAAACCAAACCCATTGCAATCTAGTTGATTCCAACTCATAGTGACCATGTAGGACTGAGTAGAACTGCCCAATAGAGTTTCCAAGGCTGTAACCTTTAGGAATCAGATTGGCTCATCTTTCTGCTGAGTGGTGGGCTTGAACCACTGACCTTTCAGTTAACAGCTGAGTACTTAACCGCTGCACTACCTGTGCTCCTTATATTTACATTACTTTCTTCAATTATTATATTTCACAATCATTTTTCTATAATTCATACATTTACACTTTTTTTAAACAAAGAAATAATGTTCATTTTATTAATTAAACAAATGGATTAAAAAGGATTACTAGACTGAGGTATTAATTAGCAATGTCCAAAAAGATACTGAAATTATTAAAATATTGTTATAGATCTTTTGTTAATAGTGCCAGTAACCATGTGCATTATTGTTTGTAAGCCTTTTGAACTTACATGAAGTAAGGAATAGTATGGAAAAAAATCTTAAGTTTTTTGTAATTAATTTTAGGTATTGAAGAAAATATTCAAGAAGTTGTTGGCCATATCACTGAGGGTGTGTGTAGGCCTCTAAAGGTAATATATTTTATTTTTAAAAATGTTGAATTGGCCTGACAGCAACTAAAAACAACGATATATGATATGTAGCTAAATTATTGTGTTGTTCATTGTTACAAGTTGATAAAACTAATACCAGCCTGAATTTAAACTGTAATTTTGTCAGAGTAACACATTAATGTAGGATAATACACATTTTTAAAAATCATTGCTATTTTCCACCCTAATAAAGAATATTTGAAACGTTCTTAGTTTGCACACACTGACTTGTTTTTTTTATATGTTACCTTCTCCACAGTAACTTATTTAATCAATTCAGATAAAGTCTGTTTAACTGAAAGTTCACCTGTGAGCTCTTAGCAGATTTACTAAGTACTTACTCTGTTTACTTTATTGTTTCAAGTGTGCTAAATTCTAAAATCTATTTATTATAGTAATAAATAATGCTTAATCCAAGGATAAATATTATTATTATAAATTATTATTATCAGTGTTATTACTATCAATACTATTTATAGTACAGCAAGCAGAATTTGGAGTCCAATTTGGGTTAGAATTCCCACCTTGCCACTTAATTGTGTTAACTTACTCAAATTGTTTAAGTCTTCTGCACATTAACTTGCTCATGGCTTAACCTGTATATAAAAATACCTCCTGTGAAGGGTTGTGAGGATTAAATGTGATAACGTAGGTCAAAGTGCACAGTTCCCGGTACTTAGTAAGCTTGCAACAAGCATTATTTTCTTGTAAAAACTGCGAGGAGGCCACATGTTCTGA